ATATAGATGACATTAGTGATGCTGAATACAGAGCATGGGCGACTGAATTACAGGAAATCTGGATTCACCTCGGCAGAAAAATAAAGGAAGATGTGAAAGATAACCAGGATATGTATTCATTGATATATGTAGATCAACCATTTATTGTACCAGGAGGACGATTTAGAGAGTTTTATTACTGGTAGGTAATTAACGTGACATCGTTGAATAGGTCTCATAACAGTAATCTGACTACTGTCAACCAATGCACATACGCACGTAAAAGATTCTTCTTCTTTGGATTGATTGTAATTTACTTGCAAATTACAGCAGTTGAATACATTACTATATCCGTTTATTTCTGTTTTAGGGACTCCTATTGGGTTATTAATGGACTCTTGATTTCAGAAATGCCGGAAACTGTTAAAGGAATGCTTACCAATTTTTTAACAATGGTAGACGAGTAAGTTTGTTTGTTTTTGTTCACGTGAAAGGCCGAGAACGAGGTGGAGGCGAGCATCTTCTCTGAATTGTTCATTGTTATCAAAACACACACTATAGATGTCTTTGTACTACTAATGGTCATGTCATGTTCACGAAATTCTATGTTTCTGCAGCCAAGTATGATGAATAGCTTAATGTCTACTGCGTTTCAACTATCACTTAATTTTCAACTTTGAATATTGACAAAACGAATATTGAAAATTAAGAAACAATAGTAATACTGAAAAAACATCAATAAAACCCCAAAAGTTGTGACATTGACGGTAATCTTGAGTATTTCGTGAAAAATAACAAAGATGATGCTATTTTAAACAAACTAATTTACCCACCAGTAATACAAAAAGCTGCCGGCGAAATTGGCTTGTATGGAAAAAGTGCGAAATGAAATAATAAACACAATTTAATTCAATTATTACTCAACTAGCTGCAACTTTAGGTATTATCATGCCAATACATAACAACAAATATCCAAACAATCACATAAACACAACGCTAATCAACAGCTCTAGCGAATTAGCGAACTGTTTACCTCAATTTTAAAACACAAGCTAACTAACAAGCTAATATTGGCAAGCAAGAGAACAAATAGGTTTCCTCTGGAAACTTGATATCAGCATTTTCTTACGAAGTTACATGTGTGTACAAAATATCTCAATAACGGCAACAAATTGTTG